TGCTGTGAGGGTTTGTTTTTAAGGGTTTAGGGTTTAGGGTTCTGCATTTTTCCGTACTGCGGGCATGAAACAGGGTTTGGGTTTTTGTTGGGGGGGTTGGAGGGGTTCAGGGGTGATTGCAAGTATACGGTTACGTACGTATCTACTGGTGAACACCAGGTAGGGCCCAATGACCGGATGTTTTGACTAGGACCACAGAGACATCGGTCGGCTGGAAGCCCTAAGCTCAAAAGCACTTCAAATCCCTTCACCCAAACCCTAAACCTAAACCCTAAACCCTATAAACCTTATAAACCCTAAACCGTAAACCCTAAGCCCAGACCAAAGATAGCAAAGTTCAGAGTTGTTGGTCCGCTTGCCAGTGCGCATTCAAAGGTCGATGCCGGCAAGACAGAGGAAGCAGACACGATGCCTTGCCTGCAGCTGGTAGGTACAGGTCTGACTCATGACTAACCCTTACCCTCAAAGGACTCATATTTTAAGGCTTTTGGGCCCAAAGACCCTATAATATGAGGCTTTTGGGCTATTGTGATGCTAAGGGTAATACATACTAATGACTAATACTAAGTATTCCGTACGCTTCCCCAAAACAGACTTGTAATCAAGCATGGCCCCTTGCCCTCGTCTCATGACCGCAGACTGAGGCACCTCTATGTTAGCAGGTTGCTTCGCATGTTTTGCCTCCGTTAGCCGCAGTTGGTTTCATTAGTGACTTAGGGATAAATTTGATTGAGGACACTGATATTGTATGCATGTTTGTGCACGTACATACACGTGGTTTCATGCCTCCTGGAGCTACGCGAGATATGTATGTACGCATACATGTATGTACGCATGCACGTCTGCATGTGTCCACGTACGGGCTGTATGGCGGTAAACATGGATGCGCTCTCGTATATTTTCACACCTACACACAGGTGTGCATGCATGCATGCACTCCCACACGCACAAACAAACATGAACGTTTTAAGACATCAAGACAGACATGCAGACATAAATACGTACACACATACATACGTACATACATACATACATATACAATCATCAGAATCATATACATATACGCGCAGGTCCGTCATTATGTCCGTCCGTCCCCTGCCGGCCCATATTTGCAGCGACACTGACACAAGCGGGTATCAAAAGCGAACAGCTACAGATATACAGTTGTTGCTAGCAGCATGCATGTATACACTTAAGTGTACGTGGACGACGGCAACGTGCCAAATGTTTGCGAAATGCAGCATGGCGAAAAGCCTGCGACATAACATCTTACGTGATAGCAAGTGCGGCAAGCATGGTTCGTGAGTACGGACATGCCATCCATGTGCGTGCTGTGTATTTGTATGCAAACAAAGCCTATATATAACCGTGTAGATGTCATTACTAGCAGCACAACCATGCATGTGCATGCACGGCCCGGTCAGTGATGTATGCATATATACGCACATCATATACAGATGCACACACGTATACAAAATGTCACAGCATATATGCGACACCGGTGTTTGGCAAGATCTGCACATGCGTGGTTCCTAATGGCTAGGAAGCTTGAAGAATATGAGGGGTCTGAAGAATTAATGATAACATGTTTGTTGCCCGACAATCCCGATATTACAGCATAATGTAGTTGATATGCCCCTTCAAACACTGCTCGGAGTATTCAGGCCCCTATTTCATGCAGGTCGTCCAGCGCCGTCGTCCATCCTGAATCGTGAATCTCCCCCACCGCCCCTCCCGAAAAGGAACGCTTACGATAGAATCACCACTGAATCAATGCGCCAATGAAGTGAATAAGACGGAGCAGCGAAACTGCAGATGAGTACGTGCACTTTACGTTTGCGGATGGCGCAGGAGGGCAGGTGGACAGTACCAGGGATACACTTTCACAGAGCCAGTCATCAGAAATGACCTAAACCCTAACCTCCCAGGTACCTACTATATAGGGTACTAGAGCCCCTAGGGCCCTATGTAGTAGGTACCTGGGAGGATAGGGTAAAGGTTGCCTCTGAAAGTACCACCCGTGCAAGATGATGATATGGCTCAATAGTTCTGACGCGCTGACTGCTAGACCCCACCGTACATCCTGAGTCTAGTTCCTATAAGCTTGGAGGCAAATCTCGAAGACACTGCGCATGCCAACTTAGGGTTTAGGGCCCGGAAACTTGAAGTCAACCGTCGAGACAACGCATGGGCCCTTGCAAGCATCCGAGGAAGTCCAAGAAAATCCCTCCTGCTTCGATCTGCAAGTGTCTTGCCTTCCTTCGATGAACATACACACACATATACTTATATTTCTGCATTTGTATTTATGCATAGAGAGAGAGAGAGAGAGAGAGAGAGAGAGAGAGAGGGAGAGAGAGAGAGAGAGACAGACGGACAGACAGGCAGGCAGGCAGGCAGACAGCCAGACAGCCAGACAGCCGGACAGCCAGACAGACAGACAGACAGACAGACAGAGAAAGAGATACAGACAGAGAGAGAGAGAGAGAACAGAGAGAGTGAGCTTCTGTAAGCTAGCGTGGTAGGGTACATGGAAGGAGCGCAAGGTGTCTGGTTTTGGGGCATTCTTTGCGCGCTGGAGGTTGCCCTGGAGGTGCTGTGGTAAAGTGTGAGTTCTCGACCAAGCCACATGCTGGATACATGACAGAGATGTGACCGTGCCAAGACATTGACTTGAGAGCACAGTTGAACACAGCACACATCCGGAAAGGTGAGAGACCGCCGCAGACCGTAATTGTTTGAGAGACGAACGAACCCACCACATCTGAAGCCGCTACACTCGAAAATAAAGTGTCTTTCATGTTTAAACTGTGATGTAGCCTTTGGAAGATTTCAGTTTCTCCTCCCAAGCTAGCAGCAAGAGCGACACACAAAAGCTTATGAGACCATGCCTCTATAGTTTCGATAGTCCCTGTTGAATCAGACCTATGAGACCAGAAAAGCACAGTTCTATTTATTGGGGCTATTCTTTTACACACATCCTTGTTGTCAGTCATTGGAGACGGTGGAGCTGCCTTCCTGTAGCAGAGCCTTCGAAAATGCAAAGCCCCTCCCTCCCCCTTTTGTTTTTCAAAGGGTTTTTGTAGGGTTTCCGGATACGGGCCTTAATCATTGGAATAGGTTTTGGGGTAGATTGTATGACAGTTATCGTGACATGACGCTACTAGCCGACCCGGGTCAGTGTAGACAACTTCTTATGCTGGGCTTGAGATATCAAAGCCGCCCTGGTGTTTTGATCCTGGAGTCCTGGGGTTTAGCGGTTTAGCGCTTAAAGCGATTCAGGGCTTCAAGGTTTAATGGGGTTTAGAATGTCCCAGGCTCTTTTCCAAGATGGACGGCTTGGAGGTGATGGTGCTGATCGTTGGATGCCTAGGCAGCTTTGCCAAGTGGGGAGGACTAAACCCTAAACCCTGCACCCTAAACCTTAAGCCCCTAAGCCTTAAACCCTAAACCCTGAACCCTAAACCCTACACCCTAGCCTAAACCCTATATCAATATAAGGTCACGAGTTTATTGCCTCACCACCTCGCGAAGGACACGGGAGCCGAAACGCCAAGACCCTGAAGCCCCCTACTTCGAAAACCTACGCCGTAGCGCCGTAAATTCGGTTTAGAGTTGAGGGTTCAGGGGTGTCGGGGGTTTAGGGTTTAGGCTTGAGGGTTGAAGGTTTTGTTGGTGGTTTTGAGGGTTTAGGGTTTAAGCTCTAATGGCTGGGCCGAGTCTTCTATGGACATTGCGGCTGGCGCTTCCCTTATGTGGACCCTGAATAAAGCCACACCGCGGGACTTCGTATCTTGAGCCTGCATCTACACTGCGCCTCTGAAGCCAGGACCTGCTTATTCGGCACCCCGATAGCTTATTCAGCTCCGAAACTCTAAATCCGAGGCTTGGTATCCTAAGGACCCATGACCCATGTGCTCTTCACCCTGACTCCATTGTCTAATCCTCAGCCCCCAAAAAAACCTTATATGTCCTTAAATCAACCCCTGAATCCGTTTCCACAAAACTGCTAAAGTTATGCTCGCCCTCAGAAGAGCCCCTTAAAGGAACCCTTAAAG